GTCAAGGCCAGGGTCAGGGAAGCGGCCATGGCCAGGTCCAGGGAAGCGGCCAAGGTCAGGGAAGCAGCCAGGGTCAGGGAAGCGGTCAAGGCCAGGGTCAGGGAAGCGGCCAGGAAAGCGGCCAGGGAAGCGGCCAGGGGATCAGCCAGGGTCAGGGAAGCGGTAAGGCCAGGGCCAGGGAAGCGGCCAGGAAAGCGGTCAGGGTCAGGGAAGGGGCCAGGGCAGTGGCAAGGGAAGGGGTCACGGCCAGGACCGGGGAAGCGGTCAAGGGAATGGTCGGGGATGTGGTCAGGGAAATGGTCAATGTGGTCAGGGAAATTGTCAGGCATGTGGTCATTGAAGTGGTCATGGGACTTTTGCATAATGTTTACTGGAGATCTTTTCAATGCCGTGCTTTAATATGGCATGTTTTCCCTGTTCATTCAACAGCCACGCACCACCACCACTTAAAATAAAAAGAATTGCTTTATTGAAGAGTTGGTGTTTTTTGGTGTCATTTGGCTGTTTTCTTGCATAACTGCTTTCTGGCATCAGTACACAAAGTACAACTTTAAAGTTGTAAATTTTTCTGTACGTGTTTTTTTTTTTTTTTTTTTTAAAGTGTAATTTGAGTACTTTTTACACCCCTGTAAATAGCTAATGCCGCCTTAGGTTTGATTGGCAATCTCTGTCATTTTGACAAACTACGTTTACATGGACATCAGTAACCTAATTTACCTTTTTCTGAATAAGCCAATATTATGATTATGGTGTTTACATGAGTTGCTTTTAGAATATTCCTTTCCTGTTTTACATGTTCTAGTACATGTTTCAATTAATGGCACATTTCTTTACGTCCCTACGTGACACCATCCGACGTCCCCTCCGGATTTTGCACCGTTACCAAAACGGGCATCCGACGTCCCCTCCGGATTTTCACGTATAAACTGTTTGTCTTCGTGATGTTGCCATGAACAGTTTTGGGTGTTTCTTTAAATTTATGAAAGCTTCAAGTGCAGTTAATTATTTGTACGTGCATACAGATGGTGGTGGTGTTGAAGCTCTTTTATTTGCTGCCAAACAGGTCATTTTTGGCAGCATATAAAAACAGTGTGATGAGCAGGACTACGTAACAACTGTTAAGTTTCCATGTGCTTTTGTTTTGTTACATTGCTGGTGACTAGTGGCTGAATATGTCATTGATTAGAAAGGTGAATATTGAATACTGTGGTGATGTTTTGACTGAACAATAAAAAAAAATAAAAAGTTGAATTACAAAGTTACAGTGTGTATAATAGGAATATTATAACCAGTGACACGGGTCAAAAGCAGAGCCGGCATAAGTGAACTAATGGCGCTTTCCCACTGCATGGTATGGCTCCGTACCTGCGTCACTGAACTTGCGACACAAACACAACAGAACTGCTAGATTTAAATCAGTACAGCCAGCGACGGATCGAACGTGACTGTTTTGAACAAGTGCACGTTTTTTAACCACCAAAAAGTGGCTGTTTTGTTCTGTTGAGGAAGTACAGACGTTCCTTTTGTTGATCGCAGAGGAGTGGATCCAGTGAGAGCTTGATGGGGCGACGCGGAATGAAACTTTTTCAGGAGTCGCGGCAATAGGGGCGGCGCAACTATAAAGACGTAAATAATCCCGCCCACTCTAAAGCGGTACTGAACTGCAGTGGAAACGCAAACCGAGCCGTACCATGCAGTGGAAAAGCGCCATAAGCGGCTGCTTAGGGCCCCGTGGCCACCAGGGGTGCCCCAAGAGTACATTAAATGTCTGTCTTTCTTTTTTTGTGATATATTGTGGCAATGGTAATTATACAAAAACGCAATATTAAATAAGTGACGTTTTATTAACAAGTTTCGGGAGGAGCACGCGCAGATAATTAACA